AGAGAGCAACAAATGAGATAAGCCCAAAGAGGCCACACCAAGACACATTATAATTAAAATGACCAAAATTAAAGAGAAAGAGAGAATCCTTGATGCAGCAAGAGAAAGGCAACAAGTGACATAAAAAGGAAAGCCCATAAGGCTATCAGTGGACTTCTCAGCTGAAACCCAACATGCTTGACAAGAAGAGCATGACACATTTAAAGTGCTGAAAGGAAAAAACCTACAGCGAAGAATACTCTGTCCAGCAAGGTTATCATTCAGAGTGGAAGTAGAGATAAAGAGCTTCGCAGACAAGCAAAAATTAAAGGAGTTTATCACCAAGAAACCAGTTTTACAAAAATGCTGAAGGGACTTATTTAAATGCAGAAATGATGACCAGAAATAGAGATAAAAAATTATCAAAAAGAACCCCCCCAAAACAGGCAATAAAATCACTGGTAAAGGTAAAAATATAGTAAAGGTAGCAGATCAACCACCTATGAAGATAATATGAAGGTTAAAAGACAAAAGTACTAAAATTACCTATTTCAATGATAAGAGGGTAATGGATAGACATGCACAAAACAAGAGATTAGATATGATTTCAAAAACATAAAATGTTGGAGGAGGGGAGTGAAAAAAGTAGAGCTTTTAGAAAGAGGTCAAGCTAAAGAGCCTATGAACTCAATATAGACTGCTATATACATAGACTATTCTATAGGATCCTCACGGTAATCACAAACTAGAAACCTACAATAAGTAAGCAAATAAGTAAGAGGAAAGAAATCAAACATATTACTCAAGAAAGTCATCAAACCACAAGAGAAAAGAGCAAGAGAAAAAGAAAAGAAAAGAGATGAACTACTAAAACATCCAGAAAAAAGTAACAAAATGACAATAAATACATATTTATCAATAGCTACTTTAAATGTCAATGGACTAAATGGTCCAATCAAAAGGCATAGTGTGGCCAGTTGGATAAAAAAAAACAAGACCCATATATATGCTGCATACAAGAGACACACTTCAGGCCTAAAGACACTCACAAACTGAAAGTGAAAGGATGGAAAAAGATATTCCAAGCAAATGGTAAAGAAAAGAAAGCAGGGGTAGCAATACTTATATCAGACAAAATAGTCTTAAAAACAAAAACTGTAACAAGAGACAAAGAAGGACACTGCATACTCATAAAGGGAACTTTCCAACAAGAAGATATAACACTTGTAAATATCTATGCACACAACATAGAAGCACCTAAATATATAAAGCAATTGTTAACAGACATAAAAGGAGAAATAGACAGTAACACAACAATAGTGGGGAACTTTAACACTCCACTTACACCATGGATAGATCATTTAAACATAAGAACAATAAGGAAACACTAGCCTGAAACGACATATTTGACCAGATGGACATAGTAGATATATACAGAACATTCCATACAAAAACCACAGAATACACATTCTTTTCAAATGCACATGGAACATTCTCCAGGACTGATCACATTTTAGGCCACAAAACAAGTCTCAATAAATTTAAGAAGATTGAAATAATACCATGCATCTTTTCTGACTACACAGGTATGAAACTGGAAATCAACTACAGAAAGAAAACCAGAAAAGCCAAAAAAATGTGGAGATTAAACAAAATGCTACTGAACAACGGTCAGGTCAATGGAAATGTCAAAAAATTCCTGGAGACGAATGAAAATGAAAATACGACATGCTGTGGGATACAGCAAAAGTGGTTCTAAGAGGGAAGTTTATAGCAATTCAGGCCTACATCTACAAGGAACAAAAGTCCCAAATGCACAGTCTAACAGTGCTTCTAAAGGAACTGGAAAAAGAAGAAAAAACCAAGCTCAAAATCAGCAGAAGGAAGGAAATAATAAAACTCAGATCAGAAATAAATGAAATAGAGACTAAAAAACAATAAAAAAATTAATGAAACCAAGAGCTGGTTCTTTGAACAGATAAATAAAATTGACCAACTCTTAGCTAGACTCACCAAGAAAAAAGAAGAGAAGGCTCAAATAAATAAAATCAGAAATGAAAGTGGAGAGATTACAACGGACACCTCAGAAATACAAAAGTAATAAGAGAATACTATGAAAAACTATACACCAACAAATTGGATAATCTAGAAGAAATGGAGAATTCTTGGAAACATACAACCCTCCAAAACCGGACCAAGAAGAAGTGGAGAATTTGAATAGACCAATCAACAGTAAGGAGATCGAAACAGCAATCAAAAACCTCCCCCAAATAAAAGTCCAGGACCAGATGGCTTCCCTGATGAATTCTACCAAACTTTCAAAGAAGACCTAATACCTATTGTCCTCAAACTCTTCCAAAAAGTTGAAGAGGAGGGGAGGCTTCCTAACTCTGTCTAGGAAGCCAACATTATCCTGATACCAAAACCTGACAAGGACAACACTAAAAAGAAAATTACAGGTCAATATCACTGATGAACGTTGATGCAAAAATCCTCAACAAAATACTAGCAAATCGGATACAACGATACATTAAAAAAATCATAGATTGTGATCAAGTAGGCTTATTCCAGGGATACAGGGATGTTCAAGGTCCGCAAATCTATCAACCTGATACACCACATTAACAAAATGAAGAATAAAAATCACATGATCATCTCAAAAGATGCAGGGAAATCATTTGACAAGTTACTGCATCAATTTGTTATAATAAGTCTAGATAAAATAGGTATAGAAGGAAAATACTTCAATATAATAAAGGCCATATATGACAAACCCACAGCAAATATTCTCAACAGAGAAAAACTAAAAGCTATCCCTCTAAGAACAGGAACCAGACAAGGATGTCCACTTTCACCACTCTTATTTAACATAGTATTGGAAGTCCTAGCCAGAGCAAGCAGGCAAGAAAAAGAAATAAAAGGGATCCAAAGTGGAAAGGAAAAAGTGAAACTGTCACTCTTTACAGACTATATGATTTATATTTAGAAACCCTAAAGAATCCACTAAAAAACTTTTAGAAATAATAAATGGATACAGTCAAGTCGCAGGATACGTCAACATACAAAAATTGGTTGTGTTTCTATACATGAACAACAAAGAAGTAGAAAGAGAAATTAAGAATATAACCCCATTTACAATTGCAACAAAAAGAATAAAATACCTTGGAATAAACTTAACCTAAGAGGTGAAAGATCCGTACACCGAAAACTATAAAACATTGTTGAAAGAACTCGAAGAAGACACAAAGAAATGGGAACATATTCCGTGCTCTTGGATTGGAAGAATTAACATCGTTAAAATGTCCACACTTCCTAAAGCAATCTCCAGATTCAGTGCAATCCCTATTCAAATTCCAAAAACATTTTTCACAGAAATAGAACAAAGAATCCTAAAATTTATATGGAACAACAAAAGACCCTGAATAGCCAAAGGAATCCTTAGGAAAAAGAACAAAGCTGGAGGTATCACACTCCCTGATTTCAAAATATACTACAAAGCCATAGTAACCAAAACAGCATAGCACTGGCACAAAAACAGACACACAGATCAATGGAACAGAATCGAGAGCCCAGAAATAAACCCACACATCTATGGACAGCTAATATTTGACAAGGGAGCCAAGAGCATACAATGGAGAATGGAGAGTCTCTTCAATAAATGGTGTTGGGAAAACTAGACAGCCACATGCAAAAGAATGAAAGTAGACAACTATCTTACACCATACACAAAAGTTAACTCAAAATGGATTAAGGACTTGAATGTAAGACCCAAAACCATGAAACTTCTGGAAGAAAACATAGGTAGTATGCTCTTTGACATTGGTCTTAGTAGCATATTTTCATGTACCATGTGTGACCAGGCAAGGGAAACAAAAGAGAAAATGAACAAATGGGACTACATCAAATTGAGAAGCTTCTGCACAGCAAAGGAAAAGACAACCTAACAATTTGGCGAAGATATTTGCAAACCATATATCAGAGAAGGGGTTAATATCCAAAATGTACAAAGAACTCATATAGCTCAACAACAAAAAAACCAACAACCTGATTAAAAAATGGGCAAAAGATATGAACAGAGATTTCTCCAAAGAAGATACATGGATGGCCCACAGACAGATGAAAAGATGCTAAACATCATTAGCTATCAGGGAAATGCAAATCAAAACTACAATGTGGTATCACCTCACTCCAGTCAGAATGGCTATAATAAACAAGACAGGAAACAACAAATGTTGGAGAGGATGTGGAGAGAAGGGAACCCTTGTACACTGCTGGTGGCAGTGCAAACTGGTGCAGCCACTATGGAAAGCGGTATGGAGTATCCTCAGAAAATTAAGAATAGATCTACCATATGATCCAGCTATCCAACTGCTGGGTATTTATCCAAAGAACTTGAAAAAGCAAAGGCATAAAGATACTTGCACCCTTATGTTCATTGCAGCATTATACACCATAGCCAAGACTTGGAAGAAACCTAGGTGCCCATGGCGGGATGAATGGATACAGAAGAGGTGGTATTTATACACGATGGAATACTACTCAGCCATAAGAAATGATGAAATATGGCCATTGTGACAACATGGATAGACCTTGAGGGTATTATGCTGAGTGAAATCAGTCAGAGGGAGAAAGTCAAATACCATATGATCTCACTCATAAGTAGAAGATAAAAACAATGGCAAACAAACACACAGCAATGGAGATTTAATTGGTGGTTACCCTAGGCGAAGAGGCGGGGAGGGCAAAAGGCGTGATTAGGCTTACGTGTGGTGATGGACTATACTTAGTTTTTGGGTGGTGAACATGATGTAATCTACACAGAATTTGAAATATATTACGATGTACATCCGAAAGCTATATAATGTTATAATCCAATGTTATTGCAATTAAAAATAAATAAATAAAAATAACATCTACTTAGGGATAAATATAACAAATGTCATGTAATATAATGATGAATTTACGAGTGTTCAATGACCATTACACTTTAAATACTAAATTATTTTTACAATCATATTTACCCCTCATATTCTGCATTTTCTCTGTTGTGTGATTTCCTCATTTCATTTCGTTTCATGATCATAATGGTGAAAATTGTGAAAAAGGGCAGAACAATGTAGAAACTCAGAATAAGCCAGTTGTTCCGATGTGTATCATAGCCTTTTTTAATAAAAACTATATCTAGAAATGAAACATAGAAATCAGTGGATATTCACTGAATATTTAAATAAATTTGTATTTCTTTCGCTTTAATCATATGTATAGGTATCCCTATATAAAACATAATTGAAATTTTAATACATCGCAATCTCCTACAGAGAAAAACAAAAGGATATTTAAGCTTATAATCCAAAACTACAATTGTATGTTTTTCATAGATTTCTTATTTATCTTTTATATATGTGTGTTTAATTATTATGATAGTGTGTATGTGTTTTGACTGCTGCTTACTATATTCAGCTTATTTATGACATCAGCATACTAAAAGTAATACATTAATAGGGCCTCAGCTAAAAATTTAGAAAAAGGCATACTGTGAAAAATCCCTATCCTCACTCCCCTGCCAAGCCACATAGTTTCTCTCCCCAGAGGAAACCATTTTTAAATGACTCATGTTTCTCCATCTGGTATTTATATTTTATGCATATAAATAAAATCCATACCGATACCTATGCTTGTATCTGAATCTATATCTATATACCTATATGTAATATGTGTGCGTATTTTCCCCTACCATTGACATTTAATAACATATTATGACCTTTTGTTATTTCTTATACCTAAAAAATTGAAGTATTACACAATTCAAAAAAGTATACAGTATATAAATATATTAGCAATGATCTAGCAAAAACCATCCAGATCTGAAAACAGACCCTGCTAGAATCCCAAAAGTATCCTCAGCACATTTTCTAATCATCATTCCTCTCCAAAGGTTACAAGTTTATCCATTTCTTCCATTAATATTTATTTAGTGAATTTTTACTGAAGTCAAACATGTTAACAGAAATGCATGCATGCCATAATTATACAATTCAAAGAATTTTCCAAATTGAACACATCCATGTAACCAGCATCAAATCCAGGAAATTTAATGTTATCAACACCCCGAACCCCCAGACTGCTTTCTTCCAGTCATTCTCTTTTCTAAAGATAATCACTAGTTTGATCTCTAAGAGCATAGATCATTTTTGGCATATTTTAAACTTTATATAAATAGAGTTATATTGTATACACTTTTTTCTGTCTGTCTTTTTCTTGATATTACCTAATTTGGGGATTTACCTGTATTGTTGCTTATGGTTGTAAAATGTTCATTCTCATCAATGCATACTATATCTTTGTATAGAAATAACAGCCATTAATGCAGTCTATTCCTTATGAACAATGTGCAATCATGAGTATTATCAATAGTGCTGCTGAATGAATATTCTACTAATGTTGTTTAGTCAACATATGGACACGTATCTCTCAGAAACATGCCCTTGGGAGAGGCAATGCTTATTCATAGCATATGCCTATATTAAACATTAGTAAATTTTCCAATGATTTTCCTAAGTGGTTATAGCAATTATCTTTCCATTAGCAGTGGATAAGGGTCTTGGTTGTTGTATATATTTGGTTTTACCCTTCTTTTTATTATATTTACTCTTTATATACAACAAAATGCAAACGTTTTAAATGTACAGATGGATAAGATTTGACAAATGTATACCCAATGATGCAAACATTTAAAAAACTGTTTTTGTTTTGCCAGCTGTGGGTTTTCTCCATTTAGTGTAAAATTCTTATCATTTTTTATTTGCTAAGTAAAAACGTGGGTTTAACTAGTGCCTGAAGTTTGACAACAAAATAGTGTGAATATCATCTTACACATTATTTAAATGTTGTTATTTTAGAGCTTTCTTGAGGTATTTTTTGGCACATAATAAATGCACATACTTAGCATCTATGATTTGATAGGTTTTATTATATGTATGAACCCATGAAATCATCACATCAAAATAATGAATATATCCATCATCTACAAAAATTTTGTCTTGCCCCTTTATGATCCTGGAATGTTGCCACTCCTCCCCATAGGCAATCATTGATCTTATCTGCATTCTCTCACTATAAATTAGTTTGCATGTTCTACTATTTAATACAAATAGAATCAGACAGCATGTATTTTTTTTAGTCTTGTTTCTTTCACATAGCATAAACGTTGAGATTCATCTACAATGGCACATATAACAATAGCTTGTTCCTTTTTTATTGTTAAATAGTATTCTATTGTTTGGATATACCACATTTTCTTTATCCATCACCTTTTGATTTAATTTGGGTTGTTTCCAGGTTCTATTACAAATAAAGCTTTTATGAACATTTGTATACAAAACTTTGTATGGGCATAAGCATTCTATTCTCTTGGGTAATTAGTGGAATGAGAATGTTTACCTTTTCAAGAAACTATGAAACTGTACAATTTTACATTCCAACAGCAGTGTATGAGACACTATCCTACACCTTTGCCAAACTTCATGTGGTTAGTTTCTTAAATTTATACAATTTTTAAAGGAATGTAATGGTATCTAACTGTGACTTTAATTTGCACTTCCCTGATGAACAATGAAGTTGGGCATATTTACATGTACTTATTTGCCACCCTTATATCTTTGCTGAAATATCAGTTCAAATATTTTGCCCATTTTTTATAGAGTTGTTTTCTATTAGTAAGTTTCAAGGACTCTTCATTCTGAATATAAAATTTTTATGTATTACTACTACAAATATTTTATTAATACTTAGTGACTTTTGAAGAGAAAAGATTTTTAAATTTGATGTCAAATTTATCACTTTTTCTCTTTGGATTGTGTTTTTGATGTCATATCTAAAAACTCTGCTTAATCCAAAGTCACTAAGGTTTTCTCATACATTTTCTTTTAAAAGTTTTCAATATTTAGGCTCACATTTTGGTTCATGATTCACTCTGAGTGAATTTTTGTAAATGATGTTAGATAGAGCTCTAAGGGTTTTTTTCTGCATATGAATATTTAATTGTTCCAACACCTTTTGTTGAAAAGCCTATACTTTATCTACTTAATTGCTTTGCACTCGTATAGAAAACCAGTTTTCCATATATCTGTTGATGTACTTCTTGTTCTCTATTCTGTTCCATTGATCTACATGTCTATGTTTAAGGTCAGTGTTACACTGTGTTGGTTATGGCAGCTTTATAGAAAGTTTTGAAATTGAGTGGTGTACTTCCTCCAACATTGTTCTTTTCCAAAGTCATTTTGGCTACTCTAAGTTCTTCGAATTTCTATATAAAGTTTAGAATCAGCGTGTCAATTTCTGAAAGAGAAGCTGATAGATGATTTTGATAGGAATTTTCTTTAATGAATAGATAAATATGGGGAGAACTGCCCTTTTAGCAATAGTGAGTCTTCCAATCTATGAAAATGAAATGCTGCTCCATTTATTTATTTTTTTTTAAACTTATCTTAGCAATGATTTGAAGTTTTCAGTTTACAAGTCATGCAATTTTTGTCTAAATCTATTCCTGAGGATTTTATTTTGAATAAAGCTGTTTTCTCTATGTCACTGTTGGATTGTCTCATTAGTTTATGGAAATACAATTGCTTTTTGTATCTTGTTCTCATATCCTGCAACCTTGCTAAATATGCTTATTAATTCCAGCAGGGTCTTTTGTGGATTCCTTAGGATTTTCTGTGTATAGGATTATACCACGTGTATATCAAGAAGGATTTTTCTTTTTCCCTTCTCATTTAGATGCCTTTTTTTTTCTTTTGCCTTGCTGTACTGGCTAGAACTTCTGGTACAACATTGAGTAGAATTGACATTAGTGGACATTCTCTAGGAAAAAACATTCAGGCTTTCATCATTCAGTAATATCTTAACTACAGATTCTCTATACATCAAATTGACAAAGTTCTTCTATCCCTAATTTATTGAATGTTTTTATATTGAATAGATATTGGATTTTTCTAATACTTTTGATATATCTATTGAGTTGATGATATTAATAAAATATTAATTTATTGTATTATTATGATACATCACATAAATTAATTTTCAGAAAAAACAACCATGAATTAGAATATTCCACCTGGGCACAGTATTTAATCCCTTTTGTTTGTTGCTAAAATTGTTTTGCTAAGGTTTTCTTACGAAATTGGTGGTGGAAGGGCAGAAAAAATGAGACATAGGAGAACCTAGCTTCCCTATTCCCCACAAAAATCAATGATTGGACAGCTATCCATGAACAAAACCAGGTCTGGGAGGCCTCTAGTGTGCACACAGGAAGTTTTAGCAACACTGTGGAACCAAAAAGAATTGAGAATAACCACACAGGAAGGAAAGGAAGATAGCTTCATTTTTCCTATATCATCCCATTCCCCAGGTCAGCGTTGTTCAGTGCCGAGAAAGATCTTTCCAACCAGAAAGAGATTCTTTCCCTAGGAAAGGAAGGGCTTCTTGAATGACCAGCTTCTCTAGCCTTTCAGGATTCTGCACAAAGTTCTTGCTTCAATTTTACCCCACCTGGACCAGCAAAACTGAGACAGATAGAACTGGCTAGGAACAAGAAAGTAAGTCAGAGGGTATTATTAACAAACACACAGTGGGGGTGATTATGGTTCACAGAAACCTGTCCTGTAGACAAACTCAGCAGCCCACCACTGATGAAGTCACTAGCCAGCAAGGTAACTGCCGACCAACTGTCCCCCACAGGTATTTGCATTCACTAACACCAGCAGCCTTGGTTCCTCCACGATCCTCCTCCCCCTGCCCTTCAGGGTCTAGACCCATGCCAGTAGCTATCCAAGCTCTCTGAGGCTGCACAAGTGAAGATGCCAGGTGCCTGAATCTTTCCCTCCTGCTACCAGAGCCCAGGAGCTACGTTTGCAGCCTACCTGGGCTTCTGCAGCTCTATGAGTGCAAGACACCAGCCTAGTGCTCTGGGGTGACCCCCACTGCTGTGCTCACACTTAGGGTGAGTCCTTATAGATGTTTACCTGTAGACCACCAGCCTAATGCTTGTCATTGGCCTCCACTGCAGTACACAAGCAAGGTGGGGACTGTGTGCAGCAACAGGTGAGCACACAGACAGCCAGGAATCCCCACAGATGCTTGTGGGAAAGCTCAGACCCTGCCTTCTGTCACTGGCCAGCCTTACC